TTTGAGTTTTTGCGATGCTATACACAGTTTTATCAGTTGAGTGTGCTAACCGTGTCTTTCTGTCCCTGCAATGATGCGGGATAATGTTTAATACATCATCAGTACATCCATAATACATTCATTCACTCATCCAAATAATGGGCCGACCACTTAACCTGAGACCTGTGAAGATCCGGGGTAGAATAGGTCTTCAGCAACCCAGGCTTGCCGTAAAAGGGGACTATGCTTGTCGTAAAAGACGACTAACGGGATCGGGTGGTCAGGCTCGTTGACTTGGTTGATGCATGTCATCGATCCCAATTGCGAGGATCGATGCTCATGATATTAATCACTTGGTTTTCTGGTCCAGACCCCATTATTTACAGACCGCCGTCATATAGCTGGAATAGCGACGTTAAACAACAAACCAACCAGCTTCACCTGAATGTGAAGGTATGCTGCCAAGCCACGAGGAAATTACCGGCAACTTCTTCCGGGTAGAAACACCAAGGTGCGATTTGTACGGTGGCCCATACCCGCCACTGGTGAGATCATTTTTCACTGTATGCCTCTATATTCTATCTGGCGGTCGCCAAATACTTTATCTGGTGAGATCAAATACAGATGTTTACAGGGGAAAATGATCTCACCAGTTGAAGTATCTGGTGGCCGCAAGAAAAATATTTAGCAGCCGCCAGATCAAATGTAGAGGCATACAGTGAAAAATGATCTCACCAGTGGCGGATATGGGCCACCGCAGATTTGTAATACTGCACTGGGGAACATACAGTCCCACGTATCAACACTATGGGTGACACGTGGGCGGTTGTTAGGCAGGTAGTTTGTGCATATCTGGTTGACGTCACCAGCGGGGTGTCATTGTGTATGTGGACCATTGCGTAACGGTACATAATGCATATGTTAAATGTTTTGTAACATTTACAGACGGTGACTCTCTCACTGGAACAAGACGGAAACATGGATAGAAAATATGTCATTGCAATTGCTGTGTGTGTGACTGTGGTAGTCGTCATCATCGCCATCGTCGTTGTCGTCGTGGCTCTGTTAATCAGCCGTCGGAAGAGGGTTGTTCGTAAGTACTGACTTTATGTACTGGTTGTAGAACTTCTGTTGTATACCCACACCATGATAGTTCTAATTGTTTTTGTTTGTTTGTTTACTGTTTAACATCGCACATAGCAATATTCCAGCTGTATGACGACTTTCTGTGAATAAGCAAGTCTGGACCAGACAATCGAGTGATTAATTTTCATTGGTTGCTGAAGACCGAATCCACCCCGGGTGAATGAGAGAGTGAGTGAGTGAGCTTGGTTTAACGCCGCTTTTAACAATATTCCAGTTATATCACGGCATGTCAGCTTAATGTGGTAGGAAAGCCCGAAGTGATGCAGGTCTCAGACGTTTACCACTTCAGTGAAACCCACGAGCACGGGTATGGTGCTGACAAATTTAGAAACATAATCAGGGCGAACCGGGATCCGAACAGACAATCATGGGTTTCTGGTGTGCCCAAGGGACGCAATTCTACCCCGGATCTTCACGGGTCTCTAACAACAGATGAACTGTTCGTGGGGGATATATTTACATGCATGTACAATCATTTCGACAAAAGCTTTTTCGTACATCATCTCTTGCTTGGGATGTTGACAATATTCTAATATCTCAATATTAATCACCAAGCAATCCTCATATTTGTAACTATTCTAAAGTTGACGGTATTTCTCCAAGCCAGTATGAAGGAATTCTTCAGATTATATGACTGATCATGACTCAGATATGTGTATTTTGATTACAGTAGTTATGGTAAGAAACTGAGAGAATCCTGTTGTACATTTGGTTTCCATACATGAAATGAGAATGGTGATTCTATTCACATATATTACTCATAAACTTACATAATCCTGTTGTACATTTGGTTTCCATACATGAAATGAGAATGATGATTCTATTTACATATATTACTCATAAACTTACATAATCCTGTTGTACATTTGGTTTCCATACATGAAATGAGAATGATGATTCTATTTACATATATTACTCATAAACTTACATAATCCTGTTGTACATTTGGTATCCATACATGAAATGACAATGATGATTCTATTTACATGTAGTACTCATAAACGTACATAATCCTGTTGTACATTTGGTTTCCATACATGAAATGAGAATGATGATTCTATTTACATATATTACTCATAAACTTACATAATCCTGTTGTACATTTGGTTTCCATACATGAAATGAGAATGATGATTCTATTTACATATAGTACTCATAAACTTACATAATCCTGTTGTACATTTGGTTTCCATACATGAAATGAGAATGATGATTCTATTTACATATAGTACTCATAAACTTACATAATCCTGTTGTACATTTGGTTTCCATACATGAAATGAGAATGATGATTCTATTTACATATAGTACTCATAAACTTATATAATCCTGTTGTACATTTGGTTTCCATACATGAAATGAGAATGATGCTTCTATTTACATATAGTACTCATAAAGTTACATACTCCTGTTGTACGTTTGGTATCCATACATGAAATGAGAATGATGATTCTATTTACATATAGTACTCATAAACTTACATAATCCTGTTGTTTGGTATCCATACATGAAATGAGATTGATAATTCTATTTACATATAGTACTCATAAACTTACATAATCCTGTTGTACATTTGGTTTCCATACATGAAATGAGATTGATAATTCTATTTACATATAGTACTCATAAACTTACATAATCCTGTTGTACATTTGGTTTCCATACATGAAATGAGAATGATGATTCTATTTACATATACTACTCATAAACTTACATAATCCTGTTGTACATTTGGTTTCCATACATGAAATGAGAATGATGATTCTATTTACATATATTACTCATAATGGCGTCTGTATGGTTGATTATCTACTAGCGTCTTCATAATTATATCCATACATTACAATATGTGAGGTCGGTATAGCTGGCAATTCATGTCACTTCACAAACTGCACATTTAACAATGACACTGAGCTCGTTACAAATAATGTCTCCCGAGTGAATCTTCCGTCAATATATTTTCTCTCATGCACCTACACATATACATACAATGTAATTGATAGTAACGCTGTCGCTGCAATATATCACCTGACCAACATACACCAGGAAGCAGTTGAACGCACAGATAAGGGTTAATGTGGTATTTGTGCTAAACATTCAACCACCCTGGTGGGAGCGAGATGTAGGACAGATAAACATGGAACAATATTCTACACTCAGAGATCGTGTTTTGAACTCTCTCTCTCTCCCTATCTCTCTCCCTATCTCTCTCTCCCTCTCTCTCTACCTCTCTCTGTGTGTGTCTCTCTCTCTCTCTCTCTCCCTCTCTCTCTCTTTGTTTTATGCTGACATTATCCAACACTTAGGCCACACAGAGATTTTGTGTTTTGAACTATGTTTGTTTTCTCTCTCTCTCTCTCTCTCTCTCTCTCTCTCTCTCTATGTGTCTCTCTCGCCCTCTCCCTCCCTCTCTCTCTCCCCCCGCTCTCTCTCTCCCTCTCTCCCTCTCTCTCCCCCTCTCCCCCCTCTCTCTCCCTCTCTCTCTCTCCCCTCTTCATGCTGACATTATCCAACACTTAGGCCACACAGAGATTTTGTGTTTTGGACTATGTTTGTTTTCTCTCTCTCTCTCTCTCTCTCTGTCTCTCTCTCCCTCTCTCTCTCTCCCTCCCTCCCTCTCTCTCTCCCCTCTCTCTCTATGTGTCTCTCTCTCCCGCTCCCTCCCTCTCTCTCTCCCTCTCTCTCTCCCTCCCTCCCTCTCTCTCTCCCCTCTCTCTCTATCTATCTCTCTCCCCCTCTCTCTCCCCCTCTCTCTCCCTCTCTCTCTCCCCTCTCTCTCTATCTCTCTCTCTATCTCTCTTTCTCTCTCTCTCTGTCTCTCTCTCTCTCTTTGTTTTATGCTGACATTAGGAATAATATATCTGTAAGCCTTACACTTTTCACACGCAAATAAATCTCTTACAAAACAATAAGATGGATGTTATGTTTAACGCTGCCATATATTTACATCAAGTAATTTTCTTTGATAGGCATTTAGAAGTTGGAGTACTAAGTAAGGATAATATGTATGCATGAACAACTTCTTTATTACAATCAAGAGCGACGCTTCGGTGTAGGTTCTAACATCAAACAAGTGATAACGGTGTTAGAACCTACATTAAAACGTCGCTCTTAAATGTAATAAAGAAGTTCTTTATCCATAAATCTTATCCTTACTTATTAAGTAAACTGTTGAAACTAGGAACTGCAACCCATTTGCACTGATACATTTTCTACTAGGGCATTATGCTGAATAAAACGTATGTGTGTCTATCAGAACGACATAATGTATGTACGTCTATCGCCGATATATTGCGTGGACGACGCGAATCTATGACTAAAAGTCAAATTGTTAAATCTTCAGCGTCAGACAAAATGGTAATCAATTTCCTCTTCACTTATTCCTTATGGCCAAAGAGACTAGAACAGGCCAGCAATATTCTTCAGCTATGACGTCACTGCATTTACACTTAGTCGCGTGACGTCATGGCACTGTATGACGTCATCATGGAATGTCGCTGCACACGCTATTATCAACTTCTTGAAAAAACATATAAATCAGAAGGATAATTTCTCATAGATGAACTGTTTATCCATATGTGGTTGGTATGTTCTAAAACGTTAACCACTCATTTTATGTAAAAATGTAAACACGTGAGTGATTTCCCTATAAGTCTATTTGTAGTGTGAACGGTGGTTTTGAAGTTCGTTTAGCGCAAAAGAATGTACGTTAGGCTCTCTACCTTTCCTTTAGAAAGTTCGCTATCTTAGAAAACGTTCACGGACAAGCCGACATCCTTCAAAGAATCCTGCTTTCAATATTAATCAGACAATGATATGATTAACAAACCACTGACAGAACATTTTATGTATTTCAAATCACCAATTCTTACTCCAGGTAGACGACAGCGACAACCACGACCACAAAGCTCAGTTTCTGCTGAGGACACGCTGCAAGTTAGTAAGTATGACCCAATTATTCTTCAGGATCCGAAGTAAATGGAATTTCTGAAATCTTCCCATCTTCCCAAGGCAAGGGCGTTAACTGACTATAGAGTCCAGTTTCCACCCTCGCCGAACTAGGCTGGAATTCCGAAGTTACATTTTGGCTGGACCAACGAGTCTATGCATAGTCCAATCAAAATCGCGAAACGAACTAGGCATCCGGTTTGTTAACAACATGGATTTCAACGTGCAGAGTTCGGTCGACTGCAGCGTGAAAGCTGCTGAGTACTGACTCAGTGCCGCCATTTTGTGAGTTAGTGAGTGACTGAGTGAATGAGTGGAAAGCCTGAAGTGATGCAAATCTCAGACGTTCACCGCTTTGGTGAAACCCAATAGTATTGATATAGTGCTGAGAAACCCAGAAACATCATCAGGGCGAAACGGGATTCGAACAAACAATAAATGGTTTCTGGCACACCAAAGGGATGCCCATCTGTACGACAAAATATGGCGCCTTGCGCCGTTGTATCAAAAGTAGTGAAGATGATTGAACTTTGACACAAAGAGGCAGTATACATAAAAAACTTTTTAATTTGATGCTATTGATTAATGATTTTTTTCATCTGCCGACATAAGTCATTGGGTGAAAAATATATCCTGTCAGATCTACCTTCCTTGTCTCCAAGTTAAGAGGTTTTGTTTCAGACAATAACCAGGTATATTGAATCAAACACCCTGATTAATTGTGAGAAAATACACATGTAGCTTTGTAAAACAACAGCGTACACATCTTGCGAATGCTCTGTTTCTCCAGGGGCTGCATATAATTACCGAATCAGCCGCGATGACATCGTGGAAAGATCAGGTAAGTCGTTATATCACACGGTAAGATTTCATCTGATCCTTTCACCCAGTTTAGATCTGGCCGGAAACTAATCTCAGAGTTTAGTCTTTTCACTCAGTTCGGATCTCGCCAGAAGCTAATCTCAGAGTTAAGCCTGTTTACTCAGTTCGGATCTCGTCTAAAGTTATCCAATAAACTGAGACCTCCAAGTTGTTCACAAAGTTAAAACTGCGGTTGAAGCTGTACAAACAGCTGCGCTCCCCACACGGAGTTTACATTCAAACGATGGAGATTACACAGTGAATACGCAACATCTTGGATTAGAACGTGTCCAGATTGTGCATGGTCCAGTCTCCACACAAAAGGTCACTTCCATTGCCGCCAAGATGTGTTTCTTAAAACAACGGTTAAACAATATTTCGGGCATTCAGTGTGAAATCTGAGCTAACAATACTAAGACATTACTGATATCTTGCAGGAAAAGACGACTTGGAGCTGAAAGGCATTCAATGTGAAAAAGATAAAGGTAAACATGATGTCTGGTTCTCAATGTTCATCAATGCTGTAGGGCTCTCCATGATAGTTCATCAATGTTGTAGGGCTCTTAATGGTAGTTCACCAATGTTGTAGGGCTCTCAATGGTAGTTCACCAATGCTGTAGGGCTCTCCATGATATTTCCTCACTGTTGTAGGGCTCTCAATGGTAGTTCACCAATGTTGTAGGGCTCTTAATGGCAGTTCATCAATGTTGTAGGGCTCTCAATGGTAGTTCACCAATGCTGTAGGGCTCTCCATGATATTTCCTCAATGTTGTAGGGCTCTCAATGGTAGTTCACCAATGTTGTAGGGCTCTCCATGATAGTTCCTCACTGTTGTAGGGCTCTCAATGGTAGTTCACCAATGATGTAGGGCTCTCCATGATAGTTCCTCACTGTTGTAGGGCTCTCAATGGTAGTTCACAAATGTTGTAGGGCTCTCAATGATAGTTCCTCACTGTTGTAGAGCTCTCAATGGTAGTTCATCAATGTTGTAGAGCTCTCAATGGTAGTTCATCAATGCTGTAGGGCTCTCCATGGTAGTTCATCAATGTTGTAAGGCTCTCAATGATAGTTCCTCACTGTTGTAGGGCTCTCAATGGTAGTTCATAAATGTTGTAGGGCTCTCAATGGTAGTTCGCCAATGCTGTAGGGCTCTCCATGGTAGTTCATCAATGTTGTAAGGCTCTCAATGATAGTTCCTCACTGTTGTAGGGCGCTCAATGGTAGTTCCTCAATGTTGTAGGGCGCTCAATGGTAGTTCCTCACTGTTGTAGGGCTCTCAATGGTAGTTCACCAATGCTGTAGGGCTCTCCATGATAGTTCCTCACTGGTGTAGGGCTCTCAATGGTAGTTCACCAATGTTGTAGGGCTCTCAATGATAGTTCCTCACTGTTGTAGGGCTCTCAATGGTAGTTCACCAATGCTGTAGGACTCTCCATGATAGATCACCACTGTTGTAGGGCTCTCATTGGTAGTTCATCAATGCTGTAGGGCTCTAAATGGTAGTTCATCAATGTTGTAGGGCTCTCAATGGTAGTTCATCAATGTTGTAGGCCTCACAATGGTAGATCCTAACTGTCGTAGGGCTCTCAATGAGAGTTCATCAATGTTGTAGGCCTCACAATGGTAGATCCTAACTGTCGTAGGGCTCTCAGTGATAGTTCATCAATGTTGTAGGGCTCTCAGTGATAGATCATCAATGTTGTATGCATCTCAATGATAGTTCCCAACTGTTGTAGGGCTCTCAATGGTAGTTCATCAATGTTGTAGGGCGCTCAATGATAGTTCACCACTGTTTTAGGGCTCTCAATGATAGTTCACCACTGTTGTAGGGCTCTCACTGGTAGTTCACCACTGTTGTAGGGCTTTCAGTGGTAGTTCACCAATGTTGTAGGGCGCTCAATGATAGTTCATCAATGTTGTAGGGCTCTCAATGATAGTTCCCCAATGTTGTAGGGCGCTCAATGGTAGTTCACCAATGTTGTAGGGCTCTCAATGATAGTTCCTCACTGTTGTAGGGCTCTCAATGGTAGTTCACCAATGCTGTAGGGCTCTCCATGATAGTTCCTCACTGGTGTAGGGCTCTCAATGGTAGTTTACCAATGTTGTAGGGCTCTCCATGATAGTTCCTCACTGTTGTAGGGCTCTCAATGGTAGTTCACCAATGCTGTAGGACTCTCCATGATAGATCACCACTGTTGTAGGGCTCTCATTGGTAGTTCATCAATGCTGTAGGGCTCTAAATGGTAGTTCATCAATGTTGTAGGGCTCTCAATGGTAGTTCATCAATGTTGTAGGCCTCACAATGGTAGATCCTAACTGTCGTAGGGCTCTCAATGAGAGTTCATCAATGTTGTAGGCCTCACAATGGTAGATCCTAACTGTCGTAGGGCTCTCAGTGATAGTTCATCAATGTTGTAGGGCTCTCAGTGATAGATCATCAATGTTGTATGCATCTCAATGATAGTTCCCAACTGTTGTAGGGCTCTCAATGGTAGTTCATCAATGTTGTTCCTCACTATGTTGGGTCCATTAACTGAACCTGCTACATTAAAATGACTGATCACTTCTCTCTGTTGTCAGCTATGTGCCCCCCGACGGCGCCAGCTGGTGGAGTCGCTCCCCCGCGTCTCGATCCCATATAACGCCGGGCCAAGCTCACCACCAGCATCTACTGCACAGCATCTGCACAATAAACTGTATCATGAACTGCATAGACGTCAGAGATTGTCCTCAGTATAGCAAGAACTGCACCAATGACACGTGTGTGTTGACACGTGACAACTGCTTGGACGTGACAGTTCACATTGTATGTGTGCATAATACAACATATCATGTTTTGAATAGGTGCGCGTGATGATGGATAAGTGTCGTGAAGTGACAACAGTGGCAGGCGTCAGCAAACTCGTCATGACCTTTGACAAATGAACGTGTGATGGGACAGTATGAAGGCACCCGAAGCTCAGAGACGTGATATGATTTGACGACCACCGGTCCAGAGCACTGGCTTGGGAAATCGACACGTTGTTTGTGTATAGCGACAACAAAGAATATGATCGAAGTACTGTACGTGTAACCAGTTTCGAGAAAGGATGTTGTCGATGTACTGTATGTGTGTCGAGTTTCGAGAAAGGATGTTATTGATGTACTGTATGTGTGTTGAGTTTCGACAAACTATGTTAACGAAGTACTGTACATGTTTCGAGTTTCAAGAAAGGATGTTGTCGATGTACTGTATGAGTGTCGAGTTACAACAAAGGATGTTTTCGAAGTACTGTATGTGTGTCCAGTTTTTCGAGAAAGGATGTTATCGAAGCACTGTACGTCTGTCGAGTTTAGCAAAAGGATGTTGTGAGTCCAGTTACAAGAAAGGTTATTATCGATGTATAATGTGTGTGAGTGTGTTTGTGGGTGTATGAGTGTGTGTGTGTGTGTGTGTGTGTGTGTGTGTGTGTGTGTGTGTGTGTGTGTGTGTGTGATATGATATTTTAAAAATATATATATAAATATGTACCTGTTTGTTTGTTTGTTTGTTTGTTGTTTAGCGCCGCCTACAGCAAAAGACACTATGCAGAGAACTTCTAGTAACCAAAGACGAGAAGTCGCCTGTTCAGTTCTGGTGCTTGTTTATATATTATGTATCTGAAAGTTCATTATGATGTCTAATAGTTCAATTCTTCATATTTGCTTTATGGCAGTTTGTGTTGATGACAACTGTTTTGGGTTTTTTTCTAAAAGGAAGGGTCGGGTTAACTATTGGTTGTTGTGTGGACTATGAGTCGTGTGGACTGTCTGAAACGTATGGCAGGCAGATACTGCAACATTCCTGTTCACATGCACACATTGTCTCGCGTAGATGCCGGGATACACTTTGTCTCCAGCACCCTGTGCGGATCTTAAGAGGCGACTCCGTGCTCTGAGATGTTTAGGGGTATTTATATATATAGTTTCATTACAATTGTTTTCAGGACTGCATCCATTGTGTATATATACTCTGCAAAAAAAACCGCAAAAGTTTTATATTTATGCATCATATATACATTAATATATTGTAATCGATTGTTTAAAATTGGCACATATCATTGTCATTGACCTATGTTCCATATAGAAGAAATGGAACAGCAGATGTTCAAGGTCATCTGTTCTACATATCCTGTATGGCCACCATGAGTCCAAACTGACTGGCATCGTCGTCCCATGGAAGAAATCAGTTACCGAATTGTGCCCTGGAGAACTGTTCACCCATTCTCCCTGCAGTGCGTGTGCCAACTGTTGGATGGTCTGTGGGTGTTGCTGATGTGCTCGCAGTCGTTGATCCCGTGCATCTCATAAATGTTCGACTGGGTTTAAATCTGTAGACCTGGGGGACATTGGCAGGATCTGGATGATGGTATTCCTATTGAAGGCTGTTGTTAGTCTTGTTGACTTCTGTGAGGTAAGGCGTTGTCTTGTTTGAAAATGACGTGTGGTCGAAGAATCTCATTCGTGTAACGCTGTGTCGTTTAGTTCCCAGAAACTTGCACCCAGTCGATTGTACCAGTGCAGGAGATGGCTGCCCACATCGGCACACTTCCACCACCAAATCTGTCCACTTCCTGTATGCAGTTTCGTGTATAACGTTCCCCGTGTAAACACGACGCCTACCATCCACACGGCGAAACATAAAACGTGATTCGTCACTAAACCAAATTTGTCTCCATCGCACCTTGACGTCGCAGTTGACGATGGAGCTCCGTCAAAATGACACCCGAACTGGTCATCTAGCGCGAATACCTTCAGCGCGTAAACAGTTCCTCAGTCTTGGCTGATATCTTACGCATCCCAACGATTTTATTACCAAACGAGTTACGTTGAGCGTGCATGTCATATTGGTGTGTTTCGGTACCAGGCTCTCACGTGGTTGCGATTTTCCATCTTGTCACCAAGTGTCTGCAGTACCTCATTCCACACTAATTTCCACACAATTCAATCCCAATCCATGCAGAAATGTACACATTCATGTTTGATATAATTTTGCATGGATGTCGGCAACACTGTGACAGAATATTACGATTTCTTTCTACATTTGCGTTTCTTTTTACATTTGCGTTTCTTTTTTTGCAGAGTATATGAACTGTATATTTTTCCTCAATGGAGAAACAAATGCAAACAGCACACGTTGTATTCATATGTGCAATGCACAGCTTTTACTGAATATTTGTGATATGATCCTCATAAAACTGTATCTGTGCGTTTGTTCTAATTTGAAAAAAAGAATCTATTTTGTCACACAGTTTCTATTGGTCCCCGTCTTGTATGAGACGACTTAATGTGGGTCGGATGGATAGGACTGGACTGGACTGGTCGATTGCGTGTGATGATACCCGACGGCGTTGGACGTTGCTCATGATATCAATCACTGGTTTGTCTTGACTTGATGTAATAACAGGCCATCGTGATACAGAAGGAAAATTGCTGATTATATATACACCAAAAAACACTCATTTTAAAATTGTATAAGCTGCATTTGTACAGACCTGTGTGGGATACACCTATTAGATACTACAAAACCACATTGGCACATCCCTTATTGTAACTCGACAACATCCTTTGGTGCATTGTAGCCTTTCCTCTTGTATCCCATTATCATCTACATTATCGGTTTACTCTATATGGGCACTACGTATGTATACATCAATTACGTCAACCTAAAAGGAAGACCTGCATATAGTCAAACACACGATATACATTGTTGAAGTCAAATCTTAAGGCATTGTAGCGTGTCGATTCTCATGGGTGCAGTTCTTGGTATACTGGGGACAATGTCTGACGTCTAAGCAGTTGAAGATATAGTTGATGATGCAGGTGCTGTGCAGTAGATGCTGGTGGTGAGCTTGGCCCGGCGTTATATAGGATCGAGACGCGGGGGAGCGGCTCCACCAACTGGAGGTGTCGGGGGACACATAGCTGACAACAGAGAAGGACAATCAGTCATTTCAATGTAGCAGGTTTAATTAATGAGTGAGTGAGTGAGTTAGTTGGGTTTAACGCCGCTTTTAACAGTATTCCAGTTATATCACGGCGTGTCAGCTTAATGTGGGAGTAAAGCCCGAAGTGATGCAGGTCACAGACGTTTACCAGTTCGGTGAAACCCACGAGCACGGGTATGGTGCTGACAAACCTAGAAACATAATAGGGGCAAACCGGGATTCGAACCCACAATCATAGGTTTTTGGCGTGCCCAAGGGACGCAACCCTGCACAGCGCCTAAACAATGAACTTGCCAGATGCCTATCCGACAAGAATCAGTTACTGGGGATCAGGTATACCCCGTCATGTCAACCGTACAGGGTAAAGGTGCTTACTTGTCTGCATTAAGAGGGTTTAACATTTTTATGTACTTTGCCAACATTCTATATTATTTAAACAAATCCGCGTTAGATTTTATACCACGAGCCGGGGGCAATGTCAATATTATGTCACAATGTCATAAAACCTGACGCGGGACGCAAAAGACACATAGGACCCCTCTTGATCCTGCTGCAACGAATGTATCTTACCGACATGTTTTACATGATATTCTAAACGAATTAAAACAAATTCATAATTGATAGAAAACAGCTGATATTAACTCGTGCCATATTGACATTGACGCGAAAAAAGCATGCGGCTTTTTGCTTCTAAGCAGGGTATGAGGGATTTGTTCTGCCTCTCAGAAATCCACGTGCAGCCTGTTGTGCTCGTGGCGGGGTATAAGGCATTTATTCTCCAGCTGAGAAATTAATTTCCCTCCAAGGCGGGATACACATTTTAACAAGATCACGTGGACCAATCAGATCTCATCATTCTGACATGGAGGTATGATAAAGTATGATACCTGTGATTGCCTCCCCTGTCGGGCTGTTGTTCACGCCTTTCAGCTCCAAGTCGTCTTTTCCTGTAACAGAAAGGTGGTGTGTTATTATACGGTGTTCATCGGAATGACTAATGGCCTGTAAAGAGTGTCGTAGCCCTTATGTTAAAAATTATGCTCCACTATGCAAGCTATCAAGAAACCTACGGCCGCAATGAAGGTTGCCGTTTTATCGTCAAAGATTTAACGCCGGGAGTATTCTGAAATCAGATTATAGGATAAGAAAAGTATAGTGATTTAAGAGAGGAACCTGGAGATTTTCCAAATAGACTTAAATATAAAACCGTAATAAAATAACTGGTACTAAAACATCTGACACACACTATTGGGGATTGTTCTTAACCTGACATTTTCAGAATAGAAAATGAGGAAGAGGGGTTGAAAACCTTTATAATACAAGATATGTTTGATCTTTTCTGTAATCATTTTAATGCAAAGCAAAGGGAGTCATTTGGTCCCAGTAGGGGAGTTAGCTGATCCTAGAGGGAGTGTTTTGAGCCTGGCTAGGGGAGTCATTTTAGCCTATGCCTATATGACTCAAGAGTCAAATTTAAGGGAGTCGTTTGAGCCAACTACATCGGGTGTTTATCATGCAGTGTGTGCACACATTCTAATCGGGTACCTAACGGCAGTAGAAGAGACCTACCAGTCTGATCACGTTAAGATCTCGCGTATTCCCTGTGTACTAGACATTGTTTGAATGTAATATCCGTGCAAGCAGATTCAGTTGTGACCTCATCTATGTGAATGACTTGAGGCGAGACGAGATCTCAGCGGTATGAATATTACTAAGTGAGATATCAGCTGTCTTAACAACTTTAGATAAGGTCTCAGCGGTATGAATATTTTAGGTGAGATATCTGCTGTCTTAACAACTTTAGATAAGGTCTCAGCGGTATCAATATTTTAGGTGAGATATCTGCTGTCTTAACAACTTTAGATAAGGTCTCAGCGGTATCAATATTTTAGGTGAGACATCTGCTGTCTTAACAACTTTAGATGAGATCTCAGCAGTAATTTTTTAGGTGAAAATTGAGCTGTGTCAACAACTTTTGAAGAGATCTCAGCGGCATGAATATTTCAGATGAGATATGAGCTGCGTAAACATCTTCAGGCGAGATCCAAACTATGTGAAGTGCTTCATATGACATCTAAACTGTGATATAACCACATACCTGATCTTTCCTCGATGTCATCGCGGCTGATTCGATAATTCTTTGCTGCCCCTGGACAAAAACAGAGCATTCGCACAATGTACAGCTCATTACAATCAGCAGAGCTTCACATAATATCAATCAATATTATCACGTTGTTTTCTTACTATTTCTCAAGGGCGGTCGGGTAGCCTAATGGTTGAAGCGTTCGCTCGTCACGCCATAAACCCGGGTTCGATTTCCAACATGGGTACAATGTGTGAAGCCCATTTCTGGTGTCCCCCGCCGTGATATTGCTGGAATATTGCTAATAGCGGCGTAAAATATAACTCACTCACTCACTCACTCACTCACTCATCCACCCACCCACCCACCCACCCACCCACCCACCCACTCACTCACTCACTCACTCACTCACTCACTCACTCACTCACTCACTCACTCACTCACTCTTACTGATTTTTGTCTGAACGCAGTCACGTGAAGGAACTGAAGGTAGTTCTGACATGACGGGCAAAGCTTCACTCAATGAGTTTTTCCACTTATGTTTGCAAATGAAAATATTTGTTAACCACAAAAACAACCAAAAGACATATTAATTCATACTTACTAACTTGAAGGGTACGCTCAACAGAAACTGAGCTCTGTGGTCGTGGTGGTTGTCTACCTGGAGAAAGAATTGGCTTGTTATATGACGTCGGTCAATTGTCTGATACATATATAAAGTAGGAATCTTTCTTTAATGATGTCCCCTGGTCTGTATTCGGAATATGCTTTTCTTGAGACAGGTAAGTATAAAATATAGATGATTAGATGTAACTTCGAATTGAAAACTGAAGGGGTTAGTGTGCTTTCCGTTGCGCTAGACGAACTTTACAACCACCGTTCACACTTAACTATGGAGGCATAGAGGGAGATCACATGTGTTTTCCATACATGTAGTATTTAGTGAGAGAGTTAGATTTTACGCCGCTTTTAGCAATATTCGAGCAATATCACAGCGGAGGACACCAGAAATAGGCTTCACGCATTGTACCCATGTCGGGAATCGAACTCGGGTCTTCGGCGTGACGAGCGAACGCTTTAACCACTAGGCTACCCGACAGCCATTAAAGCAAAAGGAAGAGCTGTTAAGTGTGTCAGCAAGCGTGGTTTTACGCTGCTTTTCGCAATATTCCAGCTATATTCCAGCAATATCACGGCGGAGGACACCAGAAATAGGCTTCACACATTGTACCCATGTGGGAAACGAACCCGGATTATCTTTGTGACGAGCGAACGCTTTGACAACAGCCCAGTCACTTATACACTCTCATTGATAGTGAGGGTATAGGGAATATTTATAACTCCTGCCATTATAGGTCAGTGTTGAAAAACAGCATAGATCGGGGTTGTCTGGCTCCCTGCAACTTGTCAGTGGCACAGAGACAATTAACAATTACTTTGGCAGCTACTGATAGTAGTGACGAGTAACCGCGACGAAGGCCAAGCTCAGACACCTCAAGTTCGGAATGGAGAAGTAGTTACTTTGAATAACTATTATTTAAAAGGGGTAACTAATAAGACATACCAATGTGAAACAAATAACAGAATATGTTTTTAATAAAGTGTGTTGAGAAAACAATTATTTCAGCGTTTTTTCTGCACTGTAACTATAACCTGTGAAACAAACAATTGAATAATTACTTCTTTGATAGGCATTTAGACGTTGGAGTTCTAAGTAAGGATAAGAATTTATGGATGAACAACTTCTTTATTACAATTAAGAGCGACGTTTCGGTGTAGGTTCTAACACCGCTATCAAGCAATTGCTAACGGTGTTAGAACCTACACCGAAACGTCGCTCTTAAGTGTAATAAAGAAGTTGTTCATCCATAAATTCTTATCCTTACTTAATTGAATAATTATACAATTTTGATTTCCATGAAACCACATGAAGCAGTGGAGGTATGCAACAGGTTGCGATGAAATTAGAACATCATCGCAGGGTTATGCGATAACTTCTTTTTTTTTAAACAACATGTATGTGTTTACAAGCGTTATTATGAAGTAGTTAACAATATGTGTATTATAATTTGGACCTCTGTAATAATTGCTACAGTAGGATGGCGGAGCGATGTACCTATGTGTAATTACACGTGTCAAAACACGTTATAAAGCGTTCTAAGTCATTGTATAATGGAGATTAACTTCCTGTGTTTGAAATTTGAGGTCGTCTCTTTGTAGAATCGATACCTTCGTATTTTAAATTGAAACCTCGTGCAAAAGTGTTCGGTGCTAAATTATAAATATCGATTCTAGGGTGACTACAAAGTCAAAGCACAGTAGGTTTTCTTTTAAGGTTTAGTTTTGTGAGGTCGTGGCGTTGGTATACAATATACGTTCTACAACCAGTACCTATAGTCAGTACTTACGAACAACCCTCCTCCGACGTCTGAATAACAGAGCTCCGACGACAACGACGATGACGATGATGACGACTATCACAGTCGCACATACAACAATTGCTATGACATATTTTCTATCCATGGTTCCGTTGGTCCACTGCAGGAATCAACTTCTGCAAATAATACAAAGAAATTGTCTGCATGTCATTAAACAGTTAAGCATTTACGCAAATTCGACCTCAACACGGTACGCTCTAACTGACAAGCACTTCTATCACGCAAAGCCACTTACCCCACAGAAGAACGTTCCCACGTATTGAATGATGCGTGGGAATGCACCGGTGTATGGTGCGCAAGGGGTTATTAACAATTGCACCTTGGTGTACCTACCCGGGTGTAGCTGCAGCTAGTTCCTTTGTGGGTAGAGACCCACCTTTACATTGTGAATGAATGCATATGTTGAGGCTGTATTGAGGCTGTATTGAGGCTGTATTGAGGCTGTATTGAGCTTCATCCGGCAGAATTGGAAGGGCACAACGACACGGTTGGCACATTAAACTAAACAACTTGACAACGAATCCTTAAAATAGAAATCATTGCTCACTCATTACATAAAAGGTTTACACACACTCCTTCTTGGCTTTCCATTGATAAAAATACCCTGTCACTGCAAACACCTCGCCAACTGTTGTGTACAGGTGCAGATGGCTGCAGTGGTGTTTACAGGGGGGGTTGTAAAGTGAACGGTTCCTGCCTAACGGAACATTTCTTCGGCTTCGTATGCTGCAGGTTTTGTGAAGGTACGAGCTAAAGATAACCGTCTACTGAGGCCTCGGACGTTAACCCTGATCAAACAAAATGGAACGCGCGTCATCGGGGACCACATGTAAAAATGATTCAGTTAAATCCTAGGATGTGCACCTTTTGCAAAAAATAATATTCACTTCGCTCTTTATGCAGAGACAATGCTTGCGATTGAACAAAAACCTGGGGCCATGCCTTCTGAACCAGACAGACAGACAGTTTATTCAGTATTCAGGCAACAAGGCCCATAGTACAATGCAGATTGGATATTGACATAAACAGCGCTTTGTGAGAGGAAGGCATTGCGACCTTCAATGTTGACATTTCAGAATTGCATCATCCAACATTATGACGACATGTGCCACTTTTGCGATCATAACAGAATGCATGGCTTATTAAATAGGGTTTTTGGTGGAGTGTTTTGACTACTTGTCATCGTGCATGGATGGTGTGGATCACTCCTCTTGTTTTTTTCAATCACTGTTGTTTCTGTTCAGGTCAGATATGGTTAGAGTTTCACTGACTACGGCGCTAAACAACATTCACTCACTTAATCACCTTTTTATTAGGACTGTTCTCATCTAGCGACCCTTTTTTTTTCATGAGGTTTAGTTAAATTAGCGGATTAGAGTGTTCTTTCGGAAAGGAGATAAATTGGATGGGTTCGAAAAAGACCCGGGTTCGATTCCCGACATGGGTACAATGTGTGAAGCCCATTTCTGGTGTTCCCCGCCGTGATATTACTCGAATATTGCTAAAAGCGGCGTAAAACCATACTCACTCACTTAAACTGGTCTGAGTCTTGGTTTCTGTTGATAAGTTCATAACTGAAACAGTTGAACAGTTTAGATACAAAACACAAGTCCTATATTCCCCACTGATCAATATCACAGACGTCAGAAATCTTTGTTCAGCACATTAAACATGCAAAACAATCATTATTACCACGTGTTTGTAAATTACACCCACATATAAGATGTTCCCTCTCATCAAGACACTTACGGCATGTGAAGCATGACATATGTGCACGTAATTCTTTTGGAATGTTACGAACACTCATCAAGGTCCCAGTTGTGTAGTTCCGCGGCCCTTAAGAAGGATGATAAACAGGACTATGCAATACGAGCTCTACCCGCAACAAGGAAGTAAAATGGTGACGTTAGATCGTCTCACAGTGGGGTTGATCAATACAGTCGTGCGGGTTATTTGGAGAACTCTACACGCTGGTTGTAGTCATGTGTACACAACCGGTGTATTGTACGCTAGGCCACCCAATGTATGCATATCAATGTCTTCACTCCACAAAGATGAAACTGGGTAGGTCACATCGATTTAAGTGACGGCGTGTTCTGTTTTGCATTAGGGAGTCATCCTGTCCCGCCTCATAAACGCACCTTTCCTACTATAGCATGTCGCCCATCCCATCTTCCCAACTACAGCTTGTCGCTCGTCCCGCCTTTAACACATAACAAGTCACATCTTTGAATGTGTCGTCTATAACATATCACTACATCCTGAACATAAACTCGTTATCCTGTCCTATTCAACCTGCAGCACATCAAACACTTACCTGCCGTGTGTTTTCCTCTATATCCTGTCAACGACAACAGAATATTCCTTTAAACAACATCAGACCATTTCCATAGACAATAGCGGAATATCCTTAAAGAAGCCACAAGTGTTTCACTGCTCACTGTTGGCAACAAAAGTGTATACTTTTCGACAGCACAAGCAGCATCCACTTAGACAACAGCACTGTATCTCTTCTGACAACAGCAGGGCATCCCTTATCAGTGTTTAAGTCTCTTCACTATCTCTCAGTTACGCTCGGTTCTGCATCAGAGACGACGTGGCCTTCTCGCACACAATAGGTAGCATATGTAGTGCACGTATTTGTGAGGTACACGACATTACAACACCTTTATAGCATGTCGCCCATTAACTTTCCTCTCTATAGGACGTGGACCATCTGACTTTCCTCTATAGCATGTCGCCCATCCCACCTTCCCAACTATAGCTTGTCGCTCGTCCCGCCTTTAACATATAACAAGTCACATATTTGAATGTGTCGCCTATAACATACCACTACTTCCTGAACATAAACTCGTTATCCTATCCTATTCAACCTGCGGCACATCAAACACTTACCTGCCGTGTGTTTTCCTCTATATCCTATCAACGACAACACGCAATAGGTAGTATATGTAATGCAAGTATTTGTGAGATACACTAAAATCACGACACCTTTGTAGCATGTCGCCCGTTAACTTTCCTCTCTATAGGACGTGGACCGTCTAACTTTCCCCTCTATAAGACGTGGACCGTCTGACTTTCCCCTCTATAGGACGTGGACCGTCTGACTTTCCCCTCTATAGGACGTGGACCGTCTGACTTTCCTCTCTATAGGACGTGGACCGTCTGACTTTCCCTTCTATAGGACGTGGGCCATCTGACTTTCCTCTCTATAGGACGTGGACCGTCTGACTTTCCTCTCCATAGGACGTGGACCGTCAGACTTTCCTCTCTATAGGACGTGGACCATCTGACTTTCCCCTCTATAGGACGTGGACCGTCTGACTTTCTCCTCTATAGGAAGTGGACCGTCTGACATTCCCCTCTATAGGACGTGGACCGCCTGACTTCCCCCTCAATAGGATGTGGACCGTCGGAGTTTTTCCTCTGTCAGAAGTAATGTGACAAGTTATGCGCCATCACTGGCCCTGTGAATGGAAGCGTGAGCAGTCTCCTTAATAACGTTAGTGATTAATAGAGCGAAACACTATCAACAGACATTCACTAGCCCGAAATCTCTGTGGGAAAATAAACCTACAATAATGCACACTTCTAACATACTGTTACCCGGTTGAACAGTCTCAGCCTACCTCAGTATCCAGTAGCTTGCTGACATTTCCTCTGATCGCCGTGCCGTGATGGGGAGGTTTGACACTACCATGCTCAGAATCCGTCGACACCAGACGGCAGCCTTTCAGTCAGAGCCACGATTTGAACAAGAGTGAGTGAGCGAGATTTGGCCAGCGCCGCTTTGAACAGTTTTACAGTTATATCAGGCAGGTCAACTTGGTGACAAACATAGAAACATAATCGGGGCGACCCGGGACTTAACCCATGATCATATGTCTATTGATTGCTATGATCTATGCCGAGTTGGAGTCAGATTACACACTGTCCCATTCGTTCTCAAATTCAACCAGACATTGAAGAATGATGCAATGAGGTATACAAACAAACACAACACCGTGAACACTTACTTACTGTGTTGTATGATGGAGAAATGTGTGGACGAAACCAGAGTGAAGACCCTCTACAACGAAGCTGGAAAAAACTGTGCTTAATATAACCGTTTATAAGCTGGCCTGAGACCACAGTTACCAGTTGCGTTTTAAGTGACAAGTGGCAGGTTGGTCAGCATGCAACAGGAGAACAGTCTCCGACTGATAATAATTATGGTTGGCTGCCATGTCACTGTAGATGGCAAAGAAGGAAATTAATTGTGGTCTGAGGCCTGATATGGTGAGGCTATTGCACATGTTTGATTCATTATAGCTCTATACTATACTATGTAATAAATTGACTTGAAACTTGGCATATATATTCACCGTAAGTGTTGAAATCTTTGTACATGTGTTTTCAGGTTGAAATATGTTTTATATATTTTTTAATGATTTGGTTTACTTTTTCGAACGTGCAGTTTTATGCATGTTGTTGAAATAAATGAATGCAAGCATCATAATAAGTCATATGAGTTCCAATATGTTAGAATCATGTATCCCTACACCTGCTGTGCCTCGTATGAGCTTGGACAATATCTATATGGCCAACATTGAAAAGCCAAAAGTGACCAACATGGCACGTGTCAAAACGGCACATGTCAAATCTGGTCTAGGGCATGCTTCAGGTCTTGCTTGCTGGCCGCAGTAGGCCGCAACAGCCTCACAGAGGTAGAGATGCCCTCACAGTCAGGTGTCGAAGTCCAGTGCCATCCAACCTAGACTTGGTAACCAGTGAGAAGTCTTCAGCACTCATCCTACTGACAGTCCTGGGTATCTGGGGTGGAGAGGCACTTTCTGTCTCTTCAGATTCAAGGGTGAGACCTTTGTTCCAGGGAGTGTGGCCCTTGCTGAACTGTGACTTGATTCTCTTGCGATCGCCTTTCATCGTGATTGTCTCGGACAGAACTAATGAGCTCTGAGCACAATATGTACTTATATACCCCATCACTGTGTAATGTCACTGGCAATGACAAGCATGTAAATGTATTAGAAACTCTCAAGACATACATACATATGTCTTGTGTCAGCAGTCCAAATTGTAATACCAATCCACAGCCACGTAATCGGTACTCACTTTAATAACTGGCGATAACATTTGTTGAAATATGTTCCAGCATAACATTTCTGCAATGTGTTGAAAACATTGCAATAACATGTAATGAAACAGTATTCGCTATGTTACAGCATGATGTTCTTGAATAACATTTTAAAAACATTTCAATAACATTTCCTGAAATAGTTTCTGGCTTAACATTTCTGCAACGTGTTAAAACATTGTAATACCAGTGAAATAGTTACGCCTATGGATGATGTTCTTGACAAACATTTTAAGAACATTTCAATAATATTTTGAATAATAATAAAACATGTACACATCATGCGGATGTTTTTACATATGTGCACACAATGTATACACCTGGAACTTAATTAAGCGCCACCGAACTAAATATGACACAGAATTATGAATACCGAAAATAAGGAAACAACGATTATTTATTAGACAATATGGCCCTTTCCCCACATCATCACACTGACAATGCCACGATCTACGCGATTGGGTGTTCAAGAAGTTGGTGTTTGTATCACTTCTTATATTTCCTCAATTTCATGCATTATTTGTATTTATCATATTTAAGTTTCCTTTTAACTTATTTTAAACAGTTCACACATTATGACTTTTGTCGTGCAAGGTGCAATCTCAATCGGCAATAATCAGTTAAGTAAGTGATGTTTGAGAACAAGTAAAGTATCATCTGTCATTGTACACACTGAATAGAGTCATCACCCCTTCTAAATATTTATTTTGACACACAAGTTATTTTGTGAACTAATTTCATTTATATCGTCATATGTTTCGATGAAAATCATGCCAAAACGATAGTGCGTTGTGCAGAAAACACCACTATGAAACGTGAAATAAACATGATCGACGGTCTCGAGTTCGCCAAGCCACGCATTGACTGAGCAAATTTGCAAAAGTACACTGACGTGTTTCCTGTCATGCAGTTCTTTTACGATACAAAACTTCTGTCATTGAATCTACTGTCACATTGTACCTATATGCCAACGAGGTTATGATAAAACAATCTATTTCTGAAATAGTATCTCGACATGCACCTTTCGATTCATTTCCGGGATCCTGACAGCAAAATGCTAATTCCAGTGTATTACAGGCATATTTTAGTTGGACCTCAGGATTAAATGTGAAATATCTTCTGTATTAGATACAGAGGATACCATTTTTTGTTTGTTTGAAATGTCCATCAGTGAAATGCACAACATGCTGTCTGTTCCCTAACAACTGATGCGACGTACACTGCATCGAGCTATGCTCTCCAAGCCTCGTTTTCGATCCAAGATGGCGAAAGTGTGAAAAAGGTCAATATTTCTTGGTTGTCCAAATCATCGTTTACTTCTACTACATGCATGGTTGGAGGCAAGATCAAAGTCGCCGCCCAGCTTAACTAAGACAACAGACAGTGTCGTTCGTTTCGCTTTGAACCACCACCCGCACCCTGTCGGTAGGAGTTATATAATCGGTGCCCAAATAACTGTGTCCAGTCTACAAACGGGTTTGAAGCGGTGTCTGTGTCGAATGATTTTGTGATAGTAGTGAAAAAGTTCGTTTTATACCGTATATTGTTTGTTACTAACTATCCTCTTATTTGCCAAAAGAACAGAACAAAACCCCATGACCGATGCATTGGTGCCTTGATATGCAACAAGAAAGAAAACGGATATTACCAACAGTAAGTCAGCTAACTGGAAGATCCACTGACTACTGCATTCCTTATAGAGGCTAAACGGTCCTCTGTGTGTGTACTAGACGTAACATTCGAAGATAAATAAAGTCAATTTTAAGGTTGTACGGGCTATGGAACCGAGAGATAATATGTCCAAAATGCATATGTTGTGAATAAGAGGATGTCTATGCTAGAACGTTTGATCACGAGGGCGAAACATTGAAGTAGATACAGGAGAGTTGGGACACTGCCTGTGTAACACCAACCATGCGGTTTGAAATCAGTCACTGACATGATAGATGAGGTTGATAATAACACCAATTATTGCTTTCATATAAAGCATTATGAGAACTGGGGAGCCAATATGTACGCATTACAGCATTCGCACACGGAAGCAATCTGTAGTTGATATGGTGTAGTTTTAATTACTCTGAACACATATATAGCAACAGCAAGCAAATTAACAAGTCCATGGAAAATGCTTTGTTGCACGTTAATGTCTGTTGTTTTCACTTTGTCATAATACATCATAAAAGAGTAAGAGAAGGTTTAGGATTCCTGTTGAAAGTACTAAAATAACAACTGTTGGTTACCGAACTGAGAGTTTTTTTATGATAAAAAACATTGACTATTAATTTCTTCTCTTATTTTCCAATGTAGTTCACTTCAAATTTCTTCTCTTTAAACTGTTATGGTAATGAGCCTGTTGAATGTCACCCTGTGAGTTCTGTCAAATCTATCACGGATTTGATGCTATCCTCAGGTTTAGCAAGTTCCAATTTCCTCCACTAGTTACTGGAAATGTTTAGGAAAATATTTCCTTTCTCCCTCAACCCTATCTTTCATGCACGCAAATGTAAAACATATACATAGTGAGGTCTTATATAATCCATACAATAAACTGTTCATTCATTAAGATATTGATGGGTGTAGGGAACAGTCCCTTTGAATATTTATGATATAACACACAAAGTAATGCACAATTTAACAGATTATAATAAAATTAATATCAAAATTCATTACCACTTGCCAAGTTTATTATATTATATTATATTATATTATATTATATTATATTATATTATATTATATTATATTATATTATATTA